CATTTTATTTTTTCTTTCCCACTCTTCTTTTGGGGGGGGGCTTTTTGGTTTTGCCCCCTCCACTTTTTGAATTGGAGGGGCGGCCGCCCCCCCTGCCCCCCACTTCCGGCGCCTCTGAGAAGAACGCCCTAGCCTGTGGGGTGCAAACGTCTATTTCATTAATTTCCGTCCTGTCTAGCTCTTGCCTCCCGTGTCCCTCGCTCAGCTTCCTTCTTCTTCTACCGCTCCCAGCTATTCTGCGTGCCTTATTTCCTCAGTCTCCCACCCGGCTCGCTCGGGCTCGCTCTCTTAGCAAGCTATATTATGCAGTTTTGTTCAGACCGTACTGTAAGCCTGAAACAGTGCTCGCGCATGCGCAATATCTCCCGAGAAGAACAATATTTTGCAAACATTATGCATTTAAAATGAAGAGGAGGCATTCTAGCATAAATTTATATGATAAAATTTCATCTGTAGACTTCTCTTAAGAAACACGAAGAAGACCTTGCATGTAAGGTGCCCGCCGCATATATACCAGCCAGTACACAATCTGGCTATGTTAGTGTGTTAGCGCATACGCAATATCTCACCAGAGAAGTCATATTTTGTTATGAATATGCATTTAATATGGTTAGGACGTATCTCAGCATAGATTTCTGTAATAAATTGTTATCAGTAGATCTGTGTTTATAATTAGGAAAGCGCCCTAGCCGGTGGGGTGCAACACTCCTGTTTTATCCACTCCCGTCCTGTCTCTTGCCTCCCTTGTCCCTCGCTCATACTTCGCCGTCTTCTACCGCCCACAGCTATCTTGCCTGCCGCTTTTTCTCAGTCTCCCACCCCTCTCGCTCTTTTAGCAAGCTATATTATGCAGTTTTGTTTAGTCCGTGCTGCACGCCTGAAACGGGGCTTGCGCATGCGTAATATCTCCCGAGAAAAATAATATTTTGCAAACATTATGCATTTAAAATGAAAAGGAGGTATTCTAGCATATATTTATATAATAAAATTCCATCTTTACACTTCACTTAAGAAACACGAAGAAGACCTTGCATGTAAGGTCCCCGCCGCATATCCCAGTCAGTACACAATCTGGCTACGTTACTGTGTTAGCGCAATGCATGCGCAATATCTCACCAGAGGCGTTATATTTTATGATGAATATGCATTTAATATGGTTAGGGGGTATTTCAGCATAGATTTCTGTGATAAATTCTTATCAGTAGACCTGTGTTTATAATTAGGAAAACGCCCTAGCCTGTGGGGTGAAAAACTCCTTTTTCATCCCCTCCCGTCCTTTCTCTTGGGTCCCTTGTCCCTCGCTCATCCTTTTCCTTCTTCTACCGCGGCGCCCCCAGCTATCTTGCCTGCCGCCTTTCCTCAGTCTCCCACGCCTCTCGCTCTCTCAGCAAGCGATGTTATGAATTTTCATCAGTCCGTACTGCACGCTTAAAACGGTGCTCGCGCATGCGCAATATCCCCCGAGAAAAAGAATATTTTGCAGAAATTATGCATTTAAAATAAAGAGGCGGTATTCTAGTATAGATTTATATGATAAAATTTCATCTGTAGACTTCTCTTATAAAATAGAAAGAAGACCTTGCATGTAAAGTCCCCACCGCATATCCCAGTCATGCAGTACACAATCTGGCTATGTTAGTGTGTTAGCGCATACGCAATATCTCACCAGAGGAGTCATATTTTGTTATGAATATGCATTTAATATGGTTAGGGTGTATCTCAGCATAGATTTCTGTGATAAATTCTTATCAGTAGATCTGTGTTTATAATTAGGAGAACGCCCTAGCCGGTGGGGTGCAACACTCCTGTTTCATCACTTTCCGTCTTGTCTCTTGCCTCCCGTGTTCCTCGCTCAGCTTCCTCCTTCTTTTACCGCTCCAGATATCTTCCCTGCCGCCTTTCCTCAGTCTCCCACCCCTCTCGCTCTCTTAACAAGCAATATTATGAATTTTCATCAGTCCGTACTGCACGCCTAAAACGGTGCTCGCGCATGCGCAATATCTCCCGAGAAGAAAAATATTTGGCAGAAATTATGCATTTAAAATGAAGATGGGGTATTCTAGCATAGATTTCTAAGATAAAATTGCATCAGTAGACTTCTCTTAAGAAATAGAAAAAATATCTTGCATGTAATGTCCCCTCTGCTTATACTAGTCAGTACACATTCTGGCAACGTTAGTGTGTTAGCGCATGTGCAATATCTCACCAGAGGCGTTATATTTTGTAATGAATATGAATTTAATATGGTTAGGGGTTATCTCAGCAAAGATTTCTGTAATAAATTATTATCAGTAGACTTGTGTTTATAATTAGGAGAACGCCCTAGCCTGTGGGTTGCAAAACTTTTATTTCATCACCTGCCGTCCTGTCTCTTGCCTCACGTGTCCCTCGCTCAGCATCATTCTTCTTCCCCCTCAGAAGCTACTGTCTTAAATTTCAAAGGTATAACACGTTTCTATAATATTAGGTTGTGGGCACGCGCACATGGCAGCAGTAACGTATGTATAACCTCAGGAGCACAGCTGTCTCTTGCCCTTATAAACTATACGGTCTTGTATTCTGTTGAACTGATATGGAATTGTAATTACGAACGAAAATCGCAGAGTACATAGGCGAGATTTCTGAGATTTTTGAGATCTCTGGCGAGATTTGAGATCTCTTGGCGAGATTTCTGAGATTTCTGAGACCTCAGGATATCTCAGGATATATTTCCGAACTCAGGCCTAGGTCTCTGTATTCGGCTCCTGCTTTCTACGCGTGCTCCCGGTGGAGAAGCGCGGTAGTCATAGTGAAGACTCTCATTCTTAAATACAAGATGTAATTAGATAATTATATGCATCATATGATCATACAAAGTACTATTGATGACATCTACTGGTAGAGACACATTTTATTTCTCCCAGAAGGTGGTTCTTCTAACGTTGCTATAAATGATTCCAAACATATATATGGAATCAGGGATTGATGATGACAAATTTGTCACTATTAACCCACAAGTGATGGAATGTTGTTTGATCATGCGTAAAAAATATTTTTGAGTGAAATTTGAAATATTGAAAGCTGAAAATTGACTGTTTAAAATATCATAGTGAAGACGACGACGATGACAATTAATGTATCAACAATTACCAAAAACAAAACCACTGACACACTTACTTAAATATTTAAATGTATAGGCATATATAAATCCAAACTAGCTACTTTATTAAAAATAATTCTCTTACAAGCTGTGAAATTTTACTGAATCTGTAAAAAAAAGAAAAGAATGATTAACAACGAATTAAATTAACACGCGGTGGCGCTCTATTGTTGTTCACATTGTTCAAAACTAGTAAGTACATTAAAATGTAATTTTGCTTATTAAACTTTATTTATAATTGTATAGTGTGTTTCTATCTCGCACCTCTGCATATTTAGTGATGTTAAGTACACGCACTTCAACTATATATTTTCATAAATCGTAGGTTATATGACATTCGCAAAATAATCATGGAATGTCACTGCCACTGCCACTGCCACTGGTGACACTGTGTTACAAATAGTCAATACTAGTCCGTATCCGTGTCCTTAAATTTGATGCGCGTTATAACACTAGTTATTAAGATCTATTTTTAATTCTTGCAGAAGGGTCTGGAAATTGAAATAATTCTTTATTTCTTTCAATCTAGAATCATTAATATTGATTTACAATATATAGTGTTGCTAGTAATGCTATTTTCTTTTTCTTAACATAAAATAAAAAAAGTGCATGAACGAATGTTCAAACATGTACGTACTTGCTGAGTATTATTCATAATAACCCAGCAATGTGCTTTCCAAACTGCAAACTTGCCCAAACAAACCTACACTACGAAACTACCCTGTCAGGTCTCTGTTATCTTGGCTGAGTGGAAAGTCTAGTC